AGCGATTATTAATAAAGACCCTGATCGCTTGATCGCTTAAGCGATCTTTTCCGAGGCGAATGACATCTGCCCAACTATGATCGCTTAAGCGATTTTTCCTATCGCTTAAGCGATAATTAATAAAAGACTCATTATCGCTTAAGCGATTTATGATCGCTTAAGCGATCTTTTCCGAGGAAGAATGACATCTGCCCAGACTATGATCGCTTAAGCGATCTTTCCTATCGCTTAGCGATATTAATAAAGACTCATTATCGCTTAAGCGATTTATGATCGCTTAAGCGATCTTTGCCGAGGCGAATGACATCTGCCCAGACTGTGATCGCTTAAGCGATCTTTCCTATCGCTAAGCGATAATTACTAAAAGAACCATGATCGCTTAAGCGATTTATAATCGCTTAAGCGATCTTTTCCGAGGCAGAATTACATCTGCCCAGACTATGATCGCTTAAGCGACCCCTCCTATCGCTTAAGCGATTATTACTGAAATACTAATGATTGCTTAGGCGACCTCTCGTATCGCTTAAGCGATTATACTAAAAGACACATGATCTTATATGGACAAACCATGCATAGTAAATTAAACTGCTGATGAATTATCTTATATGGACAAACAAAATATATCCCAAATATCAGATCCAATTCTTTACAATGATCACACCATACATAGTAAATTAGTTTTTATGCCAAACAGTTTAGAATCACAGTGTATGGTATCAGGGCAGTCCATGCTTGAAAAGATGCCCCACATCATTCTTCCCGATGCTTTCTGGCTCTGCACTAGCATCCAACAAATTCAAGATGATATCTACAATGCGGCTAATATGGTGCCTCGGTTGACTTTCTGTGGAGATTGCCATTCCATCTTAGTGACTTGCAGTGTAAAACACCATAATATGAGAAAGGCATGAATTAGAAAATAGCCAAGCCAATGAGAACAAATTAAATAAGCAGTTCTGAAGTACACATCAAAACACCTTTGAAAATGAACATGTATATACATCCTTATTGATAATTATAACAGGTATCACATAAACTCAACTCAAAAAACCCAAGTATGAACATCAACATCACATAAACTCAAAACGGATCCATCTGCCCATGGAAGCAGTCGACAGCCCAGCGCTCCCGACATTCTGTCATTGTTTCGTCATTCAAGCTGTCCATCGGGCTGTTGGTCATGTCGAACTCAATAAATTTCAGGGCATATAGCCCCACTCAGCGCTACAATAGGAAGAAGACATTAGCATTATATAAACTTATAGAACAATTGTATTATGTAGTTAGTTTTAAAACAAATTACCTTGACTCATTAATTGGGCAGGTAGAGCGCTGAATTCGCCACTTTCCGGTTAGTACCTGATCACCCAACTGCCCAACACTCCGCTGTCACGCAACAGCCGCGGGAACACCTGGACAGTGGCTCCAACTCGACCTCCAACTGCTTGTCTCGACAAATGGTTGGGTTGCAGTCAAGGATCTTCAGACACCCCTCCTCTAGATGCGCAGCGACTGCTATCCAGTGCATCTGTTTGACGAGGATGATGCAGTACACTCTTTTAACAAAGGCCCAACCGTGCCATATTTGGGCCGATCCCCCTTACGTACGCATAATCCTATCATCAAACCGGAAATCATCAGGGTGCAATCCGACTCTGGTGCAGCCAATCGTTTTCGCTTCGGTCCTTTTGCTACACCACTAGCAACGGCATTTTTAATTAAAGACCGATATGCCGAAACAAGCGTTTGCCCAAACGCCACATCGGTGATAGCACAGTCAGGATACAACAGCTCACCATCCTAGTCTGTCGTAGCCTCATCAGTGCCAATATCTCATCGATGTGCTACATCAATAAAAAACAAACAGATCTATGGAAAACACAGGAAAAAATAAGGAAAATTAAGTGAACATAACTCACCGAGTCCTCAGCCACGTCCCCATCGTCAACAACTTCTGAAACCATTCCGGGGATAATCCCCTGTCTTACACTTTATATGCCATCAATTCCGATCCATTGTAATAGGCATAAAAGAGTTTTTTCCTTTCCTCTATTGGCCTATACAAATCGACATTTGAGTCCATTTCCCTTCCCCACTTCCTCCCCCTTCCTCCAATTTTACATCCCCTCTTCCTTTGCCTCCCAACTCCCCTTCCTCCATTATCACCGCCCCACTTCCACCACAACCTCCTCAACCTCTTCCCTTTCTGGTGTTCCTCCATTTTGTTCTTCATTTCTCTTTCTTTATCTGTGTCACTACCATGTAAGGCGATTTCACAAACTTGCTCTTTCGGCTCTCTTTTCAAGCCAGTTTGCACTTCAACCGCCTTTATTCCCACCAACTTCCTCTCCATTGTACCAACTTCGCCCTCCATTCTAGCTACTTTCCCTCCCACCTTATCCACTTTCTTCTCCACCTTTTCATTGTTTTCTGCCATCTGCTCAAGCTTTGCATAAACGGCTGTTGTAAAACTCTCAAACAGGCCGTTGATGAGGTCAACAACCTCATTCTCCCTACGCCATGTCTCGCAAAGCGGTACTTGTTGTACCGGTTTGCTGAGGCATACGAACCTCTTCCTCCTCTTCTCCTCCTCATCCTCGGCCCCCCGAGCTTCATTATCCTCAGCATCAACGACATTGTCAAGTAATGGCCCGCAACTGCCATCAATGCGTGACCCCTTTTAGGTCCCGCATCAGGCGGTCTATCTGTTCATCCCTTTCATCCTCCATTGCTTTGAAAGATGTGACATAGTCCTCTTCCGCTTCATCCCCAATAGGGGTCAAAAAGGGACGACGACTCCCTGCAATAAGAAAAAAAAATCTCAGATTGAAGCAAATAAAAAGCAACTGCATATTCAAAGCTTATCCTTCAATCTTACCCCAGCTCTTGAATCTCAATCTCTAATTGGCCATAATCCCAATGGTTACAGCTCTCGACATGCCACCGCAACATCCTAGGAAATTGCTGTTGCACATTCACATTGTTGCTCCTCCCCCCCGCCTTAGCGAAGACAGGGATGGCCTCGTACATCCAAGCCTACATTGTAAAAAAACAGTCCATGTCATTATTCAAACACACATATTAAAAAATATAACATAGAGCTATTATATTACCTGCATTGCCCATGGGAAGCCAAACAAATTATACGTGCTGGTTTAGCCTTCCCGCCCCATTCGGCATGCTTTAACGCCATGTCTGGTTTTTTCAGGCTCTTGATGGTTCGCTCAAATGATATCCGCCCCACGGATAAGAATTAAAGAACCCAAGTCGCTTACAAACAGCAACCATCTTTCTCAATAGCTTTTGTTGAGTCACAGCCATAGATAGAATGTAAAAACAATATCAAGCACACTTTTATCTTCTCTGCATCACTAAACGAACTGTAGATAGCCTCTTCTCTAAAACTTTTCCTGTAATAGACTTTGCCCCTTTCAAAACCTTCTTACAAAAGTTTATGGCTCCCGCACTCTTCCTTACTGCGTCTGCCTCCGCCTTAGTTGGCACTTTCCCGCATCCTAAGCCCGTCACCAACGCATACTCCACATACCAAACCGTAGTGGCTTTCCCTCCACCGAACCACATTTCATTTTTTTTCTTGCATTTTACTGAGTGCATCAACATGTAATGCACTCCCTGCCCCCAAATGACTTTTTCCACTTTTTTCCAATTCTTAAAAACTGACCGAAACAAGTGTCACCAAAATCTCTTTCACCATGCCTCATTCTAGCTAAAATGACCCTTATTCTGTCAAAAACCCCCAGCTCGACCTCACCGTCACCCTTGCAGGGAAGTAGGGTACCTTCTCACTTATAGGCTCCAACTCGTACTCTCTACAGCTTACGGTCCGCACAATCTGCACAATCGATATAAAAAATGTCATCAACAAAATAAACCAAAACCACTGTAGTCGCTTAAGCGATCAGGATCGCTTAAGAGATCTTTATTGTCTCATGCAAGATCGCTTAACGATTTTAAATCGCTTAAGCGACCAAAGTTAACTGAGAATCTCTTAATCTGTGATTCTGCCCAGACCTAAGATCGCTTAAGCCACCAGGTAAACACTCATGATCTCTTAAGCGATCATTGCTGCGATCACGAGTAAAACAGAATAACGCTTAAGCGATATATAGATCGCTTAAGCGAAATTACAAGCAACATCCCAAACTACTACCCTATCTTCGCCGGCCTCTCTCGTCGCCTGGATCCTCGCGACTCCTCCTGCCTCTGCCGAATTATCGCCGGAATCCACCTCCTGGCCTGCATTCTCTCCGAATCCTCCTTCTGGCCTGAAGTCTCGCCTGACTCCTCGTCTTCAGACCCCTTTGCTGGTTCTTCCCCTGTTCTTGTGCCGCCGGCGTCTCCTTACGTGTGGACCACCTTCAATGGTCAGATGATCGACCGGAGCAGCCATGAACTGCTTGCGCCACCGAATCGAGGATTCGAAGTGGCGTTGGGTTGTCGTCGTCATTGTGAGTGTCAGCCATGGTTTGGATTGAATTTGGTGTGAAAATTTGTAGTTTGGATTGGAAATATGGGCTGTATCGCCGGAAATCGCACAGATTCCGTTTATAGTTGAAGAAATCGATCTTAGGGTTCAACAAATCGATCGAAATCGCGACTATATCGCCGAAAATCTCGACTGTATTCGGTTTAGGGTTCAAGAAATTGATTTAGGGTGCAAATCAATTGGTGTTGGATCGGAAAAAATCGCGTCTCCCTTTCGTTCAAGAAATCGCGTTTTCAACTGATGAATTTCGATTAAGCGACGTGAATAGAGTGTGGGGCTTGTTTTGCGAAATTTCAAATTTTGAAAACTTTCATTATTTCTGATTCGGCCCACATATGTTTTAATCTTTTCATTTTAACCCATTTTACGTGTTTAATTAATCCTAACTATGCCACGTCATCTTCTCTAAATTATAAATTATTTGATGAACAGTTTCAAGGCCATTTTCTTAAATGCATACTTGGGGGGACCGGGCAGCTAAATTTTCCCAAATTAGACTAAAAGAACTTAATGAAACGCAAAATCGCAGACCGCCATTGTTAGGGTTTTAGCTGCTTCAAGAAGAGCAACAAACTGCAAAAATCAGGTAACAATTTGATCCATAGGTTAACCGTAAAATTTATTCATTATCCATTCCAGTTCAATGATCTTCCAAAAAAACAAATTGTGCCTTAGCACTCTCTATTTTACACTCACTAAAAACCCTAAATTTAGGTCCCCATTTCACACTCTTAACTCACTAAGCCCTTATTCCTTCACTATTTTACTCGATAATGGCTGCAATAGTTTCAGGTCCTATGTCTCTCCAATGGGTATCAGCTTAATTTCCTCAATTTCTTCCCCGTCAAAAATCCCTCTTTTGGTGACAGACCCGAATTTATTAAAAAATCCCAACTTTAGTTCTAACTGTGTTAAAAAAAGAATTTCTTTGAGAAGTTACTGTTCTGGGAAGAGTAGTGATGGTGATAAGTCTAGTGAGTGGACTGAGGAGATAGAGTATTTAGATGAATCAGGCAGTATTATATATAGTGGTAAAGGTATAAGGTCTGTTGAGCCTGGGCTTGATGACCATGTAATGGTTGGTGGGATAAAGAAGCCAATCTTGAATGCCTCGGCCGTTGCAAAGATTGTTGAAGTTGTGAACAGGTGGAAATGGGGGCCAGAATTGGAGACCCAATTAGATAAACTCCAATTTGTGCCTAAAATGGTTCATATAATACAGGCATTGAGAGTTATCAAAGATAGTGATGCATCACTGAGTTTGTTTAGATGGGCTAAGAGGCAGTCTTGGTATGTGCCAGATGATGACTGTTACAGTATGTTGTTTGATGGGATGAATCAGAGTAGAGATTTTGATGGGATTCAATCGTTTTTCAATGAGATGGTCCAGGATTCGAGTAAAGGTGGGATTTCCTCATTTGGCGCATATAATAGGGTTATTCAGTATCTGGCTAAAGCTGAGAAATTGGAGGTGTCTTATTGTTGTTTCAAGAAGGTTCAGGATTCGGGGTGTAAGATTGATACACCAACGTATAATGTGCTTATGACCTTGTTTCTGAATAAGGGACTGCCATACAAGGCATTTGAGATGTATGAGAGCATGGAGAAGGCCGAGTGTTCATTGGATGGTCCAACATATGAATTGATGATACCAAGCTTGGCAAAATCAGGCCGTCTTGATGCAGCTTTTAAGCTCTTCCAAGAGATGAAGGAAAGGAACTTTCGGCCAAGCTTTAACATCTTTGCATCGCTTGTTGATTCGATGGGGAAAGCTGGGAGGCTGGACACCTCAATGAAAGTGTACATGGAAATGCAGGGCTATGGGCTTAGGCCATCTGCTCCTATGTATGTTTCTTTAATTGAGTCATACGCAAAAGCTGGGAAGTTAGATGCTGCTCTTAGGCTTTGGGACGAGATGAAGAAAGCAAGATTTCGGCCCAATTTTGGGTTGTACACTATGATTATTGAGTCCCATGCAAAAGCAGGGAAGCTTGATATTGCAATGTCCATCTTCAATGATATGGAGAAGGCAGGATTTCTACCCACTCCATCTACCTATTCATGTCTCTTGGAAATGCATGCTGGCTCTGGACAAGTAGATTCTGCCATGAAGCTGTACAACTCAATGACCAATGCCGGATTGAGACCAGGCCTAAGTACTTATACTGCCCTGTTGACACTTCTGGCTAATAAGAAGCTTGTGGATGTGGCTGCCAAGATTTTACTTGAAATGAAGGCCATGGGATTCTCTGTTGATGTGAGCGCAAGTGACGTTTTAATGGTATATATCAAGGATGGTTCTATTGATTTAGCTTTGAGGTGGCTACGTTTTATGGGTTCGTCAGGAATTAGAACAAATAACTTCATAATTAGACAGTTGTTTGAGTCATGTATGAAGAATGGTTTGTATGAGTCAGCCAAGCCTCTTCTCGAGACCTATGTCCATTCTTCTGCTAAAGTGGATCTCGTACTTTATACTACAATTCTTGCTCATCTTGTTCGTTGCCAGGAGGAGCAGAATGAAAGGCATTTGATGTCGATCCTTAGTGCCACGAAACATAAAGCACATGCTTTTATGTGTGGACTATTCACTGGGCCAGAGCAGAGAAAGCAACCAGTGTTATCCTTTGTCAGAGAATTCTTTCAGGGTCTTGATTACGAGTTGGAAGAGGGTGCTGCAAGGTACTTTGTTAATGTGCTCCTCAATTACCTGGTTCTTATGGGGCAAATAAATCGAGCTAGATGTGTCTGGAAAGTTGCCTATGAGAACAAGCTTTTTCCCAAGGCAATAGTTTTTGATCAACATATAGCTTGGTCCCTTGATGTCAGGAATCTATCAGTGGGAGCAGCTCTCATAGCTGTTGTGCACACCCTTCATAGGTTCAGAAAACGCATGTTGTATTATGGTGTTGTACCCAGACGCATCAAATTAGTTACCGGACCTACTCTGAAAATTGTGGTTGCCCAAATGTTGAGCTCAGTAGAATCCCCATTTGAGGTTAGTAAGGTTGTTTTGAGAGCTCCAGGGGACTCTGTCATGGAGTGGTTTAAGAAGCCTATCGTCCAACAATTTCTTCTAAATGAGATTCCATCAAGAGCTGATATCCTTATGCACAAGCTGAACATACTTTTTCCAAGTTCTGCACCTGAAATCAGATCGTTAGCCCCTCCTAAGCCGCTAATTTAAGGGGAAAACAAGGCAATTATTGTTGACATCTGAGACTCAGAGCAATTACTGGCGATGTATTTTTAAGATGGAATTGTAAGTTCTCTGCTGAGTGGTGTTGCCTGTTTTTAATACCAATTTTCCTTTCAAATCTTAAAAGAAGTGTAATATGCAATATGAAGAGATGTGCCGTGTAATTTTTATCAATAAAAAATTCTTATTATAAAGGATCAGTTTATATGTCATAGAATGTTCAGTTTCAGAAAACAGTGCTGACTTCTTCATTTATTTATACACGTATGCTAGTTCTTTGAATATTAGCAGCAATGCTTTCCTAAAGCTGGCAGTGGAAGACTTCACCGTATATCATGGGCCAAGTGCTGTATTTACATCTGCCCCAGATGGCCAGATATTGCATGAACCTCCCTCAGTTATGGTAAGCTCACCATGCCCGAGTAGAACTAATATAATGCAATTAAAAGCAATAACGAATCAGAGACTAACAGTCATAGAAGCCCCACAAAATCAAGCGCAAAACAAGACCAGAAGACCTCGTACACGTTGATAGCAGTATTCTCATGAATTGTCCCATGAGGACCAACCTTCCAACTCAAACAGGGCAAGACCAAGGAACTCGTTATTCAGTACTGGAAAAAGCAATTACATAGACTTGGATTGGCAAGTTTCTTTTGAGTCGTATGGTTTAAGCTAATTATTTCCATGTCATCAACTCAGGTCTCACATCCCCGGGACCATTCATTTGGCTGGGCATTTTGTTGTAGAAATACTTCTGGTGGAGCTGGTTACAAGTTGTGAGTTGTGACACAGGTACGGTATGTACCAGGAGTTTAATTTGAGTAAATAACTTTTTTGATTCAGATAAGCTGTCAGCCAACAACTGCCGCAATTAATTTTCTGAATACAAGGTCAATGCATCCGATTTGAAGTGACACTTCCAAGAAAAAAGCTTACTTTGCTACTAGATGAGGAAGGTTTTTTCTTTTTTTGATAAATAACCCAGAAATTCTCTGAACTTGCTACTGGACTCGAGTTCAAAGCTATTTTACTATCTGTATATAAAATTTGGTCAGAGTCCAAAATTTATTTTATAATTTATTCACCAATAGTCGCCACATGAACATTTTCCATCCTCAAACCGATGGAACCGGTTGTTATCCCTCACAATTATCACCCTTCCAGAACACTTGGACATAAGTTTAATTGCTGTGTGACAATCACCACAGAATCGCAAGTTCTTCATAACTCTTATAGGCCTATCAGGAGGGAATTTAATCATCCCAAAAGCAACAGCTACTCTCTCACTATGATATCTAATTGACTCACTCTTTTCTTCATCATCCACTTCTCGCAAAACAAAACTTGTTTCTTCAACATAACCAGCTCTTTCCATTTCTTCCCCCAATTCATCTAACTTCTGATAAATCTCTTCTGTTCTCAGGTGAGATCTATCTCCTGAAGCAAATGTATGAACTCTGTTTCCCTCCTCAACCCAACTCAAACCAGTTTCCTTCTTCAACCCTTGGTCCCTGAGCATCTTCCTAGCTTTGGCTGCATCTTCCCACCTTCCAGCAGCAGCATAAGCATTAGATAACAGCACATGCACGCCTGAGCTCACATTACCCAACTCAAAAAGCCTATCCGCAGCATAGGCAGCCAATTCAGTGTCTCCATGAATAAAACAGCCAGTCAACAGTGCTCCCCATACAGATTCTGTTGGTGCAATGGGCATTTTACTGATAACTGAAACAGCTTCCAGCAATTTACCAGCATGGCCTAGCAAATCTACCAAAGAAGCATAATGCCGAGCTCTAGGCTCAATTCCATACTCCTTCATTAGCTCAAAGTAATATTGCCCCTTTTCAACTAACCCTGCAAGACTACCAGCACATAGAACACACAAAAATGTAATGGAATTTGGTTTAATCCCACGGACTTCCATCTCTTTGAACAAATCAAATGCTTTATTAGTATGTGAGTGCTGAGCACACGCAATCAGCATTGCATTCCACATTCCTATAATCCTAACAGGCACCTCAGCGAAAACCAGGTAAGCCTCATCAATAACTCCACACTTAGAATACAAAGAAACCAAAGAACTGCCCACATAATTCGATGACTCAAAGCTTGTTTTAACACACAACCCATGTATTTGCTTCCCTAACTCAAGCAACGTAGAGTTACCACAGACATGTATCACAGTCGAAAATGTGAAATCATTTCACCTCCAAATCGTCATAAAGAGCTTGCTTGAACAACTTCAAAGCCTCCTCATTCAAACCCAGTTGCGCGTAACCATAAATCATCCCAGTCCAAGACACCACATTTCTCTCAGGCATTTCATCAAACACTTTCCTCGCCGTCTTTATATCACCACATTTGGCATACATATCAAGCAAAGAACTACACACAAACACATCAAAATCATACCCAGTTTTCACAACGAGGCAATGCACACTTTCACCAACATCAAGTCTCCCCAAAATCGCACAAGACTTAGTCGCGCTAGGAAATGTATGGTCATCAGGAAGACCATATTCACCAAGCATTCGACGAAAGTACCCAATAGCAAGGCAAGGAAGGTCGTTTTGAGTGAATGAGGAAATCACCGAACTCCAAGTAGTGTCTGACTTAAAGGGAGCTTCATGGAAGAATTGGCGGGAAAATAAGGGTAGTTGTGTTTTGGAGTAGAAGTTGATGAGGTGGTGGGAGACAAGAGGCATAATTTGGAGGCCTGATTTGATGATGTGGGCATGGAGCTGTAGGCCCTTGGGGAGGCTTCTTGAGTGGATTAACGAAAGAAGAAGAGTGCAAATATTTCTGAAGGTTTGTTCAAAGCTGAGGTGGTTTAAAGGGTTTTGCGGGCGTTTATGAATGGGGCTGCTACAGGGAGGTAGTGACGGTGATGGGAGCATAAGCATTTGATGTTCGTAGAGTCTTCGTCTTCGATTGAACTGGGGGGTTTAAATGTTATTCTCGTTTCCTAAGCATCAGGGACTTAGGGCCTTAGCTGCTTTACAAATATGTATAGTTGCTTCCCCTTCCCACCGTGCTTAAGAAACCCAGCTTTAAAAATAAGGAAAAAACGAGCTTACCGGTTTAAGCTTTTGTTTCTCTGAATACGGAAGAAAGGTTAACCCTCGTCACTTTCAAGAAGTATGGAAGAAAATATTTTTATTGCTAACCATTTTGAAGAAACCGATCAAATTGTAGATCTTTGAAACTTGGGAAGCAATAGATCAATTTTTTTCAATTGATTTCCTCAAGAGTATGAAGGAAATCAAATACCTGTTCAAATGCAATGGCGGCGCCACTGTCACTGACGCCTATACAGAATACAAACATAAATATAAAGTCTAATACCATGTTTGCCAAATCTCCCACGACTACTACTTCAAAACCAAATTAGACGAAAATGAGCCACAAACTAAATTTGTATTATTCCATAATGTTTTAGAACATCCTCAGGAATATAAATGTATCAGCTGGAAAGGAGATATTGCCGCAGAAGATAGTGAAAAAAGGGGATGGCAACACCACCCCAGTTCTTGAAACTATAATATTTCAAGCGCAATGCATAAACCCGTATCGAATTAATATCCAAAACAGACAACAATTTCAATTCCTAGAGCATAATGGAATAACTTCCTTTTTGTGGGGTTTTCAAACATGTATTTACAAGTCACCTTTCTGTTTACATCTGCAATTGACAACTTCTTTGATGTTGGGAGGTTCTGAAGATGAATTGGCAAATTTTGTAGAACTATTTGAGTATATTGTTGAAATTTAATAATAAAATTGACAGCAAAACAGCAGCAGCAAATAAAACAGCAGAAGAACAGCAGGAAAATGCCAAGAGAACCGCAGGAAAACAGCAGAGAGACAGCAGCAAAACAGCAGGAAAACAGTAAGAGGACAGCAGGAAAACAGCAGAGAGACAGCAACAATACAGCAGTGAAACAGCAACGAACACAGCAATAAAATAGCAGCGAGACAGCAGCGTCAAGGCGTGCAAAAGCACTGTCCTTAAGATCAGAATTTCACCCCTACTGAAAGAATCTTCGTGGTGCAAAAAGGCTCAACAGTGGATTGACCTCCAGGATACAATGACGAATCTCCTTTTAGAGTACACACTCTAATGGAGATTTAGAACAATAATAGAGAAGTAACCGAATAGTGATGATATGATATCAACAATAAAAACTAAAAAGTGTTTTGACACAATATGAAAATGGGAGCAAAAGCAATTGGAGTATATCACAAATGAAAAGGAATCGGTCCTTTTATACACAAAATATTTAGATGTTACTCTCCCAATAATTAATATAGTAATAGCCAAATTACTCCAATTGATTAATATTATAACAACTGAAATCATAATAGTCACCCATAAAACTGTCACTCACCTATTAAAACTCAAAAAATTGTCAATATACTAATTGCATAACAGCCATTTTTAAATTAAAAATTGAAACTGTTGTTACTTTAATTGCATAACAGTCCAAAAAGCAATCAACACTTGGTATTTTGAAATACCATAATGCAGCCATTATCACAAGCCCCCACATATTTCAAAATAACCAATCACCACTAATTATAGAATTTAATGTTTATGAGTTGGTGTCTTTCAGACTATAAACCAGTCATTGAGTAACTAAACGTGAATTACAGAAATTTGGTGAAATTAAGTTTCTATGAACCAAAAATTTCTTTATGTAATTCAGAGGATTAGTTCCTCACACTAAATTCTCAAAATTGTATATTGTTCTGCGGTTTAGCACTTTATGGCCCTTGCTAGCCTGGATTTCATGAGTGCTCTAGAGATGCCTGTCTAAGCTCTCATAAGAATCGAGTCAATTCCACACTCACATAGGTGAACCTCTATAAGGTGTGAATAGCAGTTTTTCACACCACTATTTATGTTGGCTATGGATTTCATTAAGAGTAATTTTACTCAACCTTATTCACTGCAATTAGTATTATCTCGTCATAGGGAGGACTTTCTATAGATAAAATTCGATAATACTTAACAAGACAACAAGTGACTTGTTATTACCCTTATGAACCTACTTCCTGGGATCTCCAATCACATAGGTAGGGTTACCATCACTCTTGCCTTATGTTTTAGGCATAAGTCCCATCCCACTCAAAGTATATTCCACTAACCTCCTACTTAGTGGTTTAGTCAGAGGATCGGCCAAATTTAACTCTAACTTCACAAAATCTAGGCTCA